AAGGAAATAGCCTTCTTTGGAGAATCCTTTTTTGGATAAAAAAGAAGGAAAATCCTTCATTTATTATAATAATAAAAAAGTCAATATACCAGGAACATAAAACAATTACAAATGTGAACATACCTAACAACAGAACTCCAAAATACATGAAGGAAAAACTGACAGAACTAAAAGGAAGAGTAGATCATACAACAACTATAGTTAAATATTAAAATACTTCACCCTCAAGAACCGATAGAACAACTAAACATGAAGTCAGCAAAAATACAGAAGACTTGAGCAAAACTATTAACCAAGTTGACTTAATGGACATTTACAGAACTCTACCTAACAAAAGTAGAAAAAATATTATTCTTTTCAAGTGCACATGGAACATTTTCCAGGATAGAAAACATACTAGACTATATAACAAGTAACAATGAATTTAAAGTGTGTTCTCTAAGACAAAATTAAATTACAAATCACTTGGGAAATACCTAAATACTTGGAAATTAAACAACACACATCTAAAAAACATCCATGTATCAAAGAAGAAATCACAAGAGAAATTGGAAAATAAGTGAAAATGAATGAAAACAAAAACACAGGACATCAAGATGCAATTGAAGCAGTGGATAGAGGGAGATCTATACCTTTAAACACCTATATTAGGAAAAGTAAAAAAGGTCTTAATAATCTAAGCTTCTACCTTAAAACAGAAAATGCGAAAATTAAGTGAAAGCAAAAGAAGGCAAGAGTAAAGATGAGAACAGAAATAAATGAAATAGAAAAGAAAATAGAGAAAAAAAACCAATGAAGTTAGAAGTTGGTTTGTTTGAAAACATCCCCCAAATTGTTAAACCTTTACCTAAAATGCCCAAGAAAAAGAGACAAGATACAAATTACCATAATCAAAAAATTATTTGGATCCTCATTGACTCTTCAAAAATTAAAAGGATCATGAGCAAATACTATAACTTTATGCCAACAAGTTAGACAACTTAGATGAAATGGACAAATTCTTATAAGTACACGAATTAACAAATCTAAATAAAAAAGAAACAGAAAACCTAAATAGAACTCTAACTAGAAACTGAATTAGTCATTAAAAGTTTTCTCACAAAGCAAAGCTAAGGCCCACATGGCTACACTGGCCAACGCTATCAGATATTTAAGGAAGAAATAATACCAATCTCAACAAATTTTTTCGGAAAATAGAGAAAGAGGGAACACTTTCCAATTCACTCCATGGTCCTGATACAAAAGACAGGCAGATATTTACCCCCAAAAAAGAAAAAAAATCTAGAGACTGATATCCCTGAAAAACACAGATGCAAAAATCTTTACTAAAATATTACCAAGCTGAATCCAGCAACACATAAAAAGGACTAAATGTCATGACCAAGTCAGGTTTATCCCAGCAATGAAGGGTTGGCTTAATGTTTAAAGCATAACTAACATGATATATTATATTGGTAGAATAAAGAACAAAAACCACATGGTCATCTCAACAGACATAGAAAAAAATGTGATAAAATCCAATACTCAATTCATTATAAAAACTCTCAAAAACTAGGAATAGAAGAAAATTTCCTCAGCCTGATAAAGGATTATCTACAAAAATTCTATAGCTAACATCCTATACTCCCACCAATTCTATTCAACATAGAGGTTCTACTGAGTACAATAAGGCAAGAAATAAAAGGCATCCATCCACTTTGGAGAAAAGAAGCACAACATGGTGAAAATGTGATTCTGTATCTAAAAAATATCAAGAAATATACAACCAAAAATAGTGGAAAAAGTAATTTTTGCAAGTTCACAGGACACAAGATAAATATATAAAACTCAACTACTCTAATACAATCTAAAAATTAGATTAAAAAAATAATTCCACTCAAAACCAAAAGTAGGAGTAAATCCAACAAAAGAAGTACAAGACTTATACACTGAAAACTTCTAAACGTTGCTGAAAAATGTTACAGAATATCTAAATAAATGGAGAAAACTTTCCATGATCATGACTAAGAAGAGTCAAAATTGTTAAGATAATTCTCCCTAAAATGATAACAGAGTCAACACAATGCCTATCAAAATTCTATATTTTTTTCAGAAATTAATAAGCTGATCCAAAAATATATATGGAGATGCAAAGGATCTAAAACAGCCAAAATAATTTGTAAAAAGAACAAAATTGGAATTTATACTTCCTCATTTTAAAAAGTAGCATCAAGCCACAGTAATCAAGACAGTGTGGCATTGGCATGAAGACAGGAATATGTATCAGTGGAACAGAACTGAGAATCCAGAAACAGATCCCTACATTTATGGTCTCAACTGATTTTCAACTCAGGTAGCAAGGCAAATCAATAAAAGAAAGGATATTCTTTTCAGCAAATGGCACTGGGACAATTTCGAAAATCCCTCTGCAAAACACTGAACTTAGGGCCTGGTGGCATAGTGGTTAAGTTCACATGCTCTGCTTCAGCAGCCCAGGGTTTGCAGGTTCAGAGCCTGGGCGTGGACCTAGCACCACTCATCAAGCCACGCTGTGGCAGCATCTCACATAAAATAGAGAAAGACTGGCATAGGCATTGGCTCAGCGACAATATTCCTCAAGCAAAAAGAGGAAGATTGGGAACAGACGTTAGCTCAGGGCCAATCTTCCTCACACACACACAAAAATGAACTTAAGCCCTCACACTTCACACTATAAACAAAAAGTAACTCAAAATGGAACATAGACTCAAATATAACATAGACTCAAATTTAAGAATTAAAACTTCTAGAAGAAAATAAAGTCTGTGTGACCTTAGGTTAGGCAAATATGTCTTATTTATATGACATTAAAGCACAATCTCTTTAAAAAAATGATAAATTAATTTTTGTAATGAAGTAATGATTAATTACTTCATCAAATTTAAAACTTTTGCTCTTCAAAAGACAACATTAAGAAAATGAAAAGATGAGCCACAGATTGGGACAAAATATTTGCAAATCATATACTAATAAAGCACTTGCATGTAGAATACTTAAAAAAAAGGAAAGAAATTAAATTAAAAACCTCTTCAACTCATAAGACAAATAATCCAACCTAAAAATGGGCAAAAGATTTATACAGATATCTCACCAAAGATACAGAAGTGGATAATGAACACATGAAAAGAGGTTCAACATTATCAGTCATTACAGAAATGCAAGTCAAAACCACAATGAGATACCACCATACACCCACCAGAATGGCTACAATCCAAAAGACTGACAATACGCCCCAAGTATTGGTGATGATCCAGAGAAAAAGAAAACTCAACATTTCTGGTGGGAATGTAAAATGGTAGAGTGTCTTTGTAAAACAGCCTGGTATTAGTTTCTTAAGAAGTTAAATACAAGCTTTCCCAACAACCCAGCAACTCCACTACTAAGTTATCAAACAAAGATAAATAAAAACTAAGGCCACACAAAGAAACAACAGCCCAAAACTAAAGCAATCCAAATGTCCATCAACTGGCGACTAGATATACAAACAATAAAATATTACTCCATAATAAGAGAATAACTCACTCCTGATAAATTCTTATGACACGAGTGAATCTCAAAAATAGTATGCTAAGTGAAAGAAGCCAGAAACAAGAGACTACTTATTAGGATTCTATTTATATGAAATTTCTAGGAAAGGTAAATCTCTAGAGAGGAAAGCTGATGAGTGATAAAAGGCTAGAGGTAAAAGCAGTGATTAACGACCTACAGGCAAGAGGGAACTTTTTTAGGTGAGGAAAATATTCTCAAACTAGATTATGGTCATGGTTGCACAACTCTATAACTTAAAAACACTGAATTGTATACTTACAATGGTGTATTTTATGGTATGTAAATTATATCTCAATAGGCAGTTTAAATAAAGTGAACACATGAGGGAAGGGACCATTTCTGTACTGTTCATTAGGCTATCCAAAATGCCTTGCGCTGTTTATGGCCTGTAGTAGGCACTCAAATCTTTTCTGAATTAAAAAAAAAAACCGTGGAGCATTTACCTGTCAATTTGGCAACTGTTAATTGAATTGTTTACTATGTGCCAAATATTATTCTAGGCAATGTGGACCATCCAAGAATAAAGTAAACAAGATCCCTGCTACTTATGAATGCATAATTTAATGGCATGAAATGAATGAGAAAATAAATGAAAAAAAGAGGTATCATATAGAAAATAAAACAGGGTAGGCATGTCTAACAGGCTACTTTAGGTTAGGCTGTCTGAGACCTCTAAAAGGAGGTGGTCATATAAGGGGAGGCAAAAATATGAAAAGTGAGTGGCCATGTGAACTTAAGGAAGAGAGAAAACATTCTAGACAAAGAAGAATAGCAAGGGCTTCCCATGTTAAAGGAACAGAAAGATGGCCGGAATGGCTGAAGTATAACGAGTGACAGAGAAAGGGGTATAAGATGAGTCAGAGTATTTCCAAGGGCCCAGACTGAGTAGGGTCTTCCAAATTAGGGCAATGAATTTAGATTTCATTTTAATTATCATGGAACATCACTGGATAATTTCTAGTTTAACAAGATGTACATACAATCTCTCCCATAAAAATCTTTTCAACAAAGGCATTCCATTAAGTAAAGATTTGATAAGACCTAAAGCTGATATTTCTGTTATGAAAGGTTTAAACTTAAGATATGTTTTAATACTTGTCAGATTGTGTACCTTGCATAGTTCACCCCAATTATATAGATTACCTTCTAAAACCAGTGAGAAGGTCTGATGTTTCCTGTTTACCGATTATTTCCCCAAAGCATTAACTGATTCAAATGTTTGGTAAACAAGATGTTTTCCTCCTTAAGAGGCTGATTTCTGTGCCGTCTATCATTATTATGGAATATTTTACTACTTTTGTTCCTGCCTCAGTTTAATGCTTTGTTTTTCCCAAACCATGCCATCTGTTTTCCCTAATTCTATTAAAAAAGTTAAAAAGCATTGGCATTTCAGACATTCTAGCATCTTTTGAAATACACAGGAAGGAGCTTACTTCTCCGGCATAATAAAGTGCAGCAAGGACCAGAGCTCTTTGAGGGAATTCTGAAGAGGGGTCCCCGTAATCAGGAGCCTATGGTTGGACTTGAAATCAATCAGAGTTTTATACAACAAAGAGTCATCATTCTTCAACCGATGGGCTTCATCCACTCCCAGAAAGGCCCAGTTAATACTGCCCAGCACAGTCTAAAGTAAAAACAAAACAGAACGAGCCACCAGGTCAGAAGGGAACCCAAAAGTACTTTCAAGTGTTAATTATCTCTGCACAAATACCATCACAAAGGAATACATAGAAACATTTATTCTTCACTGACTTAGAGCATATTAGGACTCTTCTGTTTATTCTGTTAGTTGCCAAACTGGTGTCTACTCAAAAGAGCACGTCACCATCTAAAAGGTATGGGGGAGCGGTCGCATGCCTGGTATTGCTGCATGCCCCAAAGCAAGAACACGAAAATTGGTATGCTGGGCAAAAACAACACAAAAACAAAAACCACTTGATTTTGCAGTCTCTCCTTAATTATGCTTCTTCTCTACGTATTCTCCACCCCAACCCTGAAGCACAGAAACGCCAAGAGCCACCAAATTGAACTTGTTCACACTTATTATCAGCAATGGGATCACCTGCCACATACACTACTTAGTAACTATAGAAAGGAGACAATTTCAAGAGCTTTATTTTTCTGTCCTCCTCATAGATACCATTCACATAATCTGTTCTGGGAAAATGCCTTAACAATAATATGGGACCTGCCTGAGATGGCACTCAAGCCGAGTTTCCAAAGACTGACTGGAATCTCAGGTGAGTCACTGTCCTCAATACCCTTTCATCCTGTTTAATTCAATTGGACTAGGCAACCAAAGGTCCCCTTCAACTGTAAGGTTGTATTAGTTATTTATAACCTTAATATTCTTTGTGGATTTTTTTGTTTGCTCGTTTGCTTTTTTTAAAGAAAGAAGGAAAAACAACATGGCAAGTGGGGAGGCACAGACGCCACCATTTGGACAAGTCACACTACAAAATTTAGCCTCTTAGCTACCAATTACACACCTTATCTTTTAAGAGGATCTCATATGTTGTTATAAGTGCATTGAACTTCAGCCTTTTGGTCTGAGAATGAATCCATTCATACTCCCGTATCTGTAAGAGAAAACAGCAATTAAGATACCATTTCTGCTTTTACCTTTCTACATCACCAGCAGGTCTTGTGACAGATGCAATAGAAACATGCCAAATAAAAAACAAATCTGATTAGAAGTTAATGAATACTTATACATTCTAAATTGACCTAAGCAACCAAAATACAGAGCAGTAAGAGTTAGAATTAAAAGATCTATCACTGAGCTGCCAAAACTTTATTGCCAGAATTCAAATAAATTGTCATCTCTCCCCACACACCCCACCCCCAATACATTTCACTCAAAAAAAAGCATTTCATCAGCAATTAAACCCTGGTGACTTGAACTTATCTAGGGAATCTCTCAGAAAGCGAATTTTCTTAAGGAAATAATAATTTGATTATTCTTTTGGTAGGGCAATAGTTCTACTAACAAGTAAAAAAATGCTAACTTCGGGCTCGGTCAGAAATTTCATTAATCACAGAGCAGAAAGATGTTGCCCACAAGAAAAATGAAAGGGAGGCTTAGAGGATGAAAACATAGTTTAATATGAATGAAAATAATGTTACTGTGAAGGAACACAAGAACTGACACATTCATACTGAAGTGTCGCTGCACCCCAGCAAGCACAGTGGCCCACGACAAGGCTCCTGCCATTTGGTTGTCAAGGTAGGAACTAGAGAACAGGATGAGGAACACATGCAGGTGATTACCACCAAGTGGGAAAAAAGAACAAAGAAAGGAGTACTGGAGACTGCAAAGAAAACTGCCCTAACTCCATAATTCTTCAGAGTTCACTTTCTTTGTCCTCATCTTCGAACACAGTGCTTGAAGCCATTCTGCATAATCTAGAAGTTTGTTACTTTTTTTAATGGTTAACAAATGGATTACAAGCTAAGAACTACCATATGCTTAGAAACTCAAAATTAGGGCAGCAAAATCTGCCAGGGTTTAGGTTAGACAATTTTAATAAAAACAAATTTGAATTAGCAGGCTATCTCTCACCTCTCTCAAAGGTCTGAGGATTCCTGAGGGCTTGCTCTTATTATAAGCAATCCCCCAAGACAGTTTACTTTAGCATACAGTGGTGAAAGAGCAAAGGTCTAGGACCAGACACATCTGTGTCCCAATCCCAGCTCTGCCATTTTCTAGCGGGCCTGGGGACAAGTGTTAAACTCTCTGAGTCAATTTCTTCATTAGTCAGTTAGAAAGAATATCACCTACTTTGAAGACTATCGTGAGGATTACAGGAAATACTGTCCTTCCTCAGTATCCAAGAGGGACTGGTTCCAGGACCTCCCACAGATACCAAAAACTGAAGATGCTTAAGTCCCCTTACATAAAATGGTATAGTATAATGAATACAGTTGGCCCTCCATATCTATGCGTTTTGCACACACAGATTCAATTCCTCCTTATCTGCAAAATCTTTTCTTTCTTTTTTTTGTGAGGAAGATTGGCCCAAAGCTAACATCTTTTGCCACTCTTCCTCTTTTTGCTTGAGGAAGATTGTCACTCACATCTGTGCCAATCATCCTCTATTTTATGTGGGATGCCACCACAGCATGACTTAATGAAGGGTGCTAAGTCTGCACCCCAGAATCCGAACCTGAGAACCCCAGGCCACCGAAGCAGAGTGCACAAATTTAACCACTACACCACCGGGCTGCCTCCATATCTGCAAAATCTTGATCTGCAATTGGTTGAATCTGCAGATGCAAAACCCACAATTCGTTGTGTTATAAGCTCATGCAAGGAGAAATAATTTTTGTTACTCATATTAACATTGTTGCTGCAGAGGGCCGACTGTATATACAAAGCACCCAGCACAGGGCCTGGCACATGACAGGTGCTTTGAAAAGAGTTAGACGTTATCAAGAAAAGATTTGCTAAACAACAATAAACTCAAGACTCTGTGTTCCAAGTTCCTCATACTCAAGTTGTTTGGTAACAGACAATTCTCATCTCCACAGCCCTCGAAGCCTTCACTGTCCTTTCCCTTTATTCCTTTCTTCTAAGTTATGCAAGCGCACCATTTTAAAAGGTTGGGAAATAAACTCTAAGGATTCAAATATTTTCAGTAATATCTCTCTGTTCAAATAGCAAAAATAATATTAACATTCCACAAAGTATTAATTCCACTTATAATCCTTAATAAATAAAGTGATCTTGGAAGTACAGCGGACAAAGAGAAGAAAAACTTAATATTCCCATTCTTGTATTGCTGTTGCCTTTCTTTAAATACTAAGCATATGTTTTAAACAAAGACTATCTGAGTTGCATTTTGATGATACATAAATCTCTTAATATTGGGGGCACAGCACAGTGCCAGAATCATAATTTTACTAAAGACTACAATGGCTTTAGATCAATTTCCAAAATACATTTATAACACAGATTCTATCCCAATTCTTTTTGTTTACACACCGTATTTCTGCTCATCAGGTCACCTATGTAAACCACTACGTTAATCTCTGGTGCCCAGATTTCAAACTCCCTCTGCCATGAGGTGAGGGTGGATAAAGGGACGACTATAAGAAAGGGGCCATACAGCTGGTGTTGGTGGAACAGGTAGGAGAGGAATGATATGGTCTGGATGGTCTTTCCTAGGCCCATTTCATCAGCAAGGATTACACTGTTACTTCTGCAGAAAGAAAAAAATAAAACAAAAAAACCATTAGTTCACCAAAAAACAGCATACGCACAAATAGCAATGACACCAATGTCCCAAGCAAGACACTGGATGTGAGCCTCAACTGTATTTCCTCTCATCTGCAATTAAGTCTCCTACATAAGAAGAAAGCAGAAGCTATAAATAGCAGAATAACACATGATCTGAGTATAATCAAGATTTGGATGACTATGAGAACCTATTCAGACTATGTTCTTTACCTTGCATTTTGGTCGTTTACATCTATGCCTTGTAACAGAGACGCAGGTTTTGTCATACTGGTGTATACAAGCACATGACCTTGGGTTCCACCAGTACAGAGAGCAGGGGCAGAGTGGCTATCATCACTGCTAGTGAACCCTACAGCCTGACGGTCAGGTGCCTTTGTTCCAATTACCTGCCCACTCCACTGCATGCCCCTGGGCTGTTCAGTGCTACACACACTACTCCTTAGACCCACAGGCTGCAGGTGCATGGAGCTTGTTTTAAATATACTATGGCAGGGGTAGGCTGCAGATCAGATTTCTGGACCCCACCCTGGACCTATGGAATCAGAAAATCTGGGAAAGGCCTCAGGAATCTTAACAAGCACTTGTGAATATTCTGATGCAGGTGTATGCCTTTAAGAAACACTGCTCTAGGAGATGGGCTGGACTTCAACAGGATACTAATAGGAAAGGATTATCCAGACATAAGGAAAAAACTTGAAGAAATGTCCAGAATTAGAGAAGTAGGTTCAGGAAATACAAAATAGCCCATGTGGCAGGAAATTAGGAATACACGTATGATCTAAGTTTGCAAACATTAAAAGGTTCTTGAAAAATCAGCTCACTGAAGGTTTACACAAACATAATATATGCTTAATCAGTGAACCAGAGAGAACTAAAAGTAATATATAAGTGAAAGACAGCTTAATTGATTAGAAAAGTAAGACATTTAATTCACCAAGAGACTAAATTTTTAAAAATACATGCTACATTCCACAGAATGGCAAGTTTTAGGGAAAAACTACAGAAAAGAACAAAGCAGAATATACTGGGGGAAGAGAGAATGAGGGGGCCACGCTCTATAAATCTCAAGTACACCTAATTTTAGGTACTGTTCAGATACAGCGTTACTCCTTTGAGTAATTACCCTCCTATTTCTCTCACCTTTCCACACTACAGGGGAGGAAACAGGACTAATTTTCTCCAACATTTCCTCTCCCTAGCAAACTGCCACTGTCCATATACACACACTAAAGCAGATCTGAACCGATGTGCCTGTTTTTCTGAGATAGCACGTTACTCAGTGTGAGGTTCCTGTGAGCAGGCCCTAACAGCTGCCTGGGTCCTTTTCGGTTAATTGGGAATTGGTCAGTTTAAAGTAAAAAATGCTGGCCAAGGACTCTACATGAAACACACTATGACTGTGGACAAGACATATGACATCTTTGTTCCTAAGAGTCCTCAACTGTAAAATAAGAGGGTTAAATTACACAAATTCTTAAGGTTCCACCTAGCTTTATAAACTATCTTTAAGGAAGATTAGGTCTCACAATTTTCTCAAACCAAACTAGTTTTCAAGCAACTTAGAATAGGTATATCATTCTCAGTCATACAAACTGATCTATTCAAGAACTTTAATGTTCATAACTGAATGTTGAATACTGTATTAGATTTTACGGGACAAACACAAAGCAGGTGGTTCAACCGGAAAACAGTCATCATAACTGTCTCTCTTTTAACTAGAAACCATCTTTTCAGCATTAAGAAAAGAAGCTCAAGTGTTTTTATTTTCAGGCTGTAGTTTAATTGTGAAATAAGAATTTTTGCTTTACTGAACAAATTAACAGTGAAGAAATTAAGAGTGTGTGTGTGGAGGACGGAATCTGTAGATAGGCATTCAAGGTACTTCTCACCGGGTCCGGTCTGGGAGGAGGGAAATCACGCCTGTCTTGGTTCAGTGTTAAATTCTCAACGCTTAGATGGGGCCCTAATGCATAGTAATCAGAGATTACTTGAATTTGCAATTGGACTTGGTGAATAAAAGTTATGAATGCTGCCTCAAAATACCTTTAAACCTCAAGTGCTATCACTGTCTCATCTTTCTTTTTTTCCCATGATTAAAGTGGTCTTGTTACAAAAAGCAAAGATAATTTCATAGGCTCAGCCATCAGAGACCTTCCTCTAAATGGGACAGCCTGTACAGCAATCTCAGGTGGGGGCGGGGAGAGCAGGGAGGAAATTGTACTACTCTTCAGCAGCAGTACAAGAAATTAAGTGAAAGGCGTCCTGGGCCTAGACGGAAAATGCATGGAAAACAGACATTTTCTTCTTTCTTCTGAGAGTAACTCCTTTCACACCAAAAAGATCTGGGCAAATTATCTTGCTATTTATACTCCTGAAAAACATATTACAACATAGGTCTCTGGCTATGACAAATTACCCCCAAATAACTAAATAACAAAGTACTCTTTACTTCAGATTAAAACAGTATTGCACATACATAAAAACTCTCACAAGAGTTTTCTCTCAACCACGTAACTTTATTTCTATAATACACAATAGAAAGAAGTAACTCTTTGCATCTAACAATAAAGAAGCCAGAAACAGTAATGAAAATTTCCAACATATTTTTCTACCTACTTGCACCAGGAATGAGCAAGCCAGTTGAGACCTTCTAGCTGATAATCACGGAGCTCCAGATTCTCCCCTCCTAAATATGCCGGCTGTTTCTTTAAAGCCACGAATCGTGGTCTCTGCTTCAGGGCCTGAAAAACAAAAATTAAGCTCAGGTCTGAAGAAGACTTTCTTCCTATTCCTGCCTTAAAAAGACAGCCATGATTTAGGTGATCTGCTCCAAAGCAGATTACATTTAAATAAAAACTTACATTTCACATCTAAACACCAACCCCGGCCATCCTGCCACAAATCCTTTCACCGTTTTCTATATTCCCAAAGCCAGATTGCATCCCAAAATATTTTGTAGTTAACTTGCTCCTTTCCTAAGGAAGTTTGTGAACATCACTAAGCAGCATTTGTCTTATATCGTCTCTACTGTATGGCAGAGTCCTATTTTCATCTTTATGTGACCTTATCCTACAGAGTACAAACCAACGCTTCTGGGAAAGTCCGTATATGCTAAATGCAGCAGAACTTTACCATAATAGCTTTTGTAAATTCTGAAATGCAGCCCACCTACCTTGAACCCCCAACTGTGTGAGTTTGGTTTTCTGAAGGAAAGGATGCTGTTTTCACCTCCAAAGGTGTGAAGAATAGCAGTCTAAGGCCATGTCTCTACGGTTTGCACAAAATGTGGATTCTGTGGCCAAATCAGTTTGGGAAACAATGGATTAAAAAGTTATATAAATTTCATTACTCATGACTTTTCAAAGTCTAACATGCTTGTGAATTTATAGGACAAATTCATTCAGGAATGCTTCCCAAAGTTATTTGGCCACAAAAATCTTTTTTCGGGGAGCATTTCTCTGAAGTTTAGCGCTCTATGGAATTAGTGCCCTCTTATGATAAGTATCATCCTAATAGTGTATTTGATAACGTAATTATTGACAGTTTCAGCTCTCCTCCGTGAGCACCTGGCAGTAAACAGAATCTGACTCCTCACCCTCACCCACCAAAAACCGGCTGTCCACTTCTGCCAAGTCTCTCCCATAATGCTTCTCCCATCTGACCCCACGGCTGCCTCCCTTGCCCTCACATTAATTCTTCCTTCAGGACCCCTATGACATTTTCTTGGCTAGATAACTGCTTACTCCAGAGTCTCCCATATACTGCCATTAGACGAAGCTTTCTAAATGAACACTGTTCCCATCCCGCTGCTCTACTCAGCAGGGTGGGCATATCCACACCCATAGGGTAAACTCAAACATCTCCAAGGTGCTCAAGACCTGCACACTTTGACCTAAGTGTACTCGCCAGGTTCACCTCCCCATCTCTGCCAGCTAGGCCTAGTAGTCCTCCTATTACAGTTTAAGAACATCTTTAACTTAATATCTTTCATGGGAGGGCAATAACCTGGGCCCCCTCTTGTCTGTCTATCCAGCACTGATCCATTCTTCAAGGACCAGGGTAGTTCTTAAAACCCCCTCAAGGATTACTGGAGCTCAGCAAAGTCTACCTCTGTCCTTCTCTGAGCACATATTCTTTATCACACTCATCAACCCTCCATTACACACTGCTTTTCACAGATACAAGCTTGGTGCCATCAACTGAATGTCACCTTCTCAGCGACAGAGACCATGTCTTACAGGTACTTCTATTACCCAGGACCCAAGCACACCACTCTACACATGGAATGAATTCTAATGAAGGAAAAGGATTTGTACAACCAATCTAGCAAATAAAAAAGCCTATACATTTAGTTTCTAACTTAGAATTCAGAGACGCTCCCCTTTCCTGTCAATTCTCTTAAAGTTTTCGAATTCTTTCAAGTATCCTCCACACTATCTCTAATTAGACATATCTAATTCTGTAAATTATAAGATTAAAGTCAGCAAAGCCATTATACGACTCATTCTCTCCTTTTGTTTTATACTTATTTTTCTTTGATGTCAAGGTTAAGTCATCTTCTTTCACTTCAAAATGGGAATTATCATTTACTTTTGTAATATTTTTCTCTTTCCAATATCTATGTGACCAACTCTTTGTATCAACACATACTTCCCTGAAAAAACAAGTCAGCAATCACCACACCTTGCATTCTCTTGTTGGGATGGTTTTCGAGTTGTTCCGATTATGGAAGCTGTCGATGCAGCTCTGGAATTTCTTTCCAATCAAGGCTTCATCTTCCCAGCTGCACTCTGAATAGGGTAGTCCCATCCATTTGCATAGATATTCAGGTTCATTTGAAGGGGCCGGCTTCCGACTGTGAGCTGTTTCATATATAAAGATTCACAGGTCAGCAACTGTCAGTTACAGCAGGGGTATGACATTCTGTTCTACATATAACCAACGAAACACCATGAGGTAAAACCATAAATATGCTGCAAAACATGAACTGCCGATAAACACTAAACAACAGTGATCAATAAACAAGGTCTCTTACTCACCTGGAAAATCTGTTTGACCCAGTGTAGATTTGCTTGTCTTCACAGCTAAACATATGGAAAATAAGATAGAAAAGTTATTACTATAATCAAGAAAAGAATGACATTTTAAGTCCTATGAATAAGAATACAAGTATACTCTACTATCTCACAACTTAAAAAAAAGAAAAGGAAAAACAGTCTTGTTTTCACAGCCCTGTCTAGCAATTGCCCCATTTGTCTGTTCCCCTTTATAACAAAACTCTCCAAGAGAGCTGTGTTTACTCACTGTCCCCGCCTGTTCTCTCTTGAAGCCACCCCAATCAGGCGTGCATACCCACCCCTCCATGGATCCATTTCACCAGTGCCATAACTATCACCAAAATCAAGGATGAAGTCTCAGCCTTCACCATATTAGACTGGGAGCACTTCCTCCTCCCCGAGCCATGTGAATCACTTGGCTTCCACACTCCACTCTCTCGGCTTTCCTCCTATCTCACTGGCTGTTGTTTCTTAGTCTCCTTTGCTGGTTTCTTCCTGACTTTCAAAAACTGGAATGCTCTCAGACTTCTCATTCTCACCACATATGCTATTTCTAATGACGTCATTAAATCTTTAAATACTATCTATAGGATTTAAATACTATCTATATATACGGATAAATTCCCAAATTTAAATCACCAGCCCAGACTAACAGTTGTAAACTCCAGGCTCACATATGCTATACCCTTCACAATACTCTCCGCTTAAATGACAAAGAAGTACATCAAACTTACAAATATCAAACTAACCTGTTGATTTCCTCTCCAAAAATCAGCTCTTCCCTTTTATCTTTCCATTTCAGTAAAGGGTACCTCTATTCTCCTATTTGCTCAAGTCAAAAATCGGGGCATCATCCTTGACCCCTCTTTCTCTCATCCCCTACATCCAAATTTACCAGCAAATCTTGTTAGCTTTTCCTTCAAAACAAACCAAGGTATCTGTCTATTCTCAAAAAGTAAACCTACAAAATGCATGTTTTAATTTACGTTACTCCCAAAAGCAAAAGCCCTTGTTCCTGGAGCCCAAACCCTGCTAAAATAAGTTTCCACATACTTACCTATCACTCTTTCTACTATCTGGTACTGTTTGTTCAACTCTGAGGCCAGCTCTTGCTGGCAGTTAAAATACTCCACATCTTCGGGAGAAACCTTCCCTAACCTGGACAGAAGACAGAAAAAGTACATACTAATTAGATTTGGGGGATCCATACACATCTATCAAAGCAAAGTCAAAGGCAGGAAAGGAAACTTAGTCTTTACTTCCACCTGTGCCTTTAGTAATCTTCTACTAGCAACTAGGCCAGAGATTTTACAAAACAACATACACTTTCAGAAAACACTGAAAACCTTACATTCATAGGACACACCAGTCATTCTCCGCTCTGATGTGGCCTATTTACAAAGTAAAGAAAACTAAAAATAACTTTTATTTTTGAGGAAGATCAGTGCTGAGCTAACATCTGCTGCCAATCCTCCTCTTTATGCTGAGGAAGACTGGCCCTGAGCTAACATCTGTGCCCATCTTCCTCTACTTTATATGTGGGATGTCTACCACAGCATGGCTTGCCACGTGGTGCCACGTCCACACCCAGGATCCAAATCGGCGAACCCTGGGCCGCAGAAACAGAATGTGCGCACTTAACCGCTGCGCCACCGGGCCGGCCCTAAAAATAACTATTTTGTGTGATAAATTCATATATCTAAACAGACCAGGACAATACAATCGTCTTCCAGCTTTAAAAGAAAACACGCCTTTTTTCATATATGGATGTGCTTTAGGAATGATTAAATGTGGCTTTTTGGGAAAACTAGTTATTCTCAGCACCAAAACTCTAGAAAAGGACAACAGGAGCAACTTGAAATCAATATTACTATACTTGTGAGGGTTTTAAATTTCTAATTGCTTTACAATCTACCCCTATCTTAGGGATGTTTATTTTTGTTTTCACTCAAAGGAAAAATATGTGATTTACTGAAGTAGCACATTTTCCATAGTGGTAAAATGGGAATTAGAACCCATCTCTCACTATTCCTAAGACAAACTAACCTGACCACATCATACTACAGACAGGTATGTCCTCAGCTACGACTAATAAGAGTCAGTTTAGGTTTGTGTGTGCTGTACCCCCACAGATTTCTCCTATGCAACCTCACACGTTCAAAGCTGTAAGCAAACTAAAAACACAGTGGGCTATCAGTTTCAGAAGTTATCTAATCGTTTCCATCACATCATTTCTGCAAATTACGTAAAACCAAGATTAGTTTTAAGTGTATCATAACCCAGAGAGTTCTAGAATATTAACTCCTGACATCTAAGCTACCCCAGCATAACCACAGGAAAATAACAAGGGGCTCAAGAACATGAGCTCTGGACTCGGGCTGCCAGAATCCCAATCCGAGGTCCACCTGCAGAGCTGCTCCATACCTCGCTCTTCCCACTTAGACATTTTGTACAAGGGTACAAATCTAATAGGCTAATTATGGCGAAGACTAAGGGGATCATGTCTGAAAAATGCACCATAAGCTAGTTACTATTAAACTCTATAAACTTGGTGGCCATAAACAAAAATATATAGTGTCTTCAGTGACAATTTTATAAAATGGAATTGTGGCTGGCTCCATGTTCAGATGATCAAGGCAAAATTTGAGATCCTAAATAGCTGTATTCTCCATGCATTATTTTTAAAAACCCTCCCTTCCCTCAGGCTGCAAATATATTTCTTTAATCCATGATGGAAAACATACCATTGCTTGATTTCATCTTCCTTCTTCTTGAAATTCTCTAGCTTTTTTAGGCCTTTCACTTTCTGCTGCTGTAAGGACTCTTCACTCTCCCACGTGCTATGGATGTAAGACCAACCCTTCCACTTGATGAGGTACTGGACTTCGCCTTCATCCTTTTCAGTGTCAAAGTCACCACTAGGGTCTCCATTAGCTTCAATCGCATATACAGTAGTAGAAGCTCCAGTAGCTGCAAAAAGATTCACTTAAACTTTAAAAAGTGTATTAAACCAGACATTGAAAAGCTTCCCAAGTGAGTAATTGTCTAAAGAGTCCCTTTTGGATAAAGCATCAAAATATTCTGACTTGAAATAAGCAGAAACGCACAAATACACGATGAACAAAATCAATAATTTCAAATATTTTCAAAACGCAAACCCAATTTTTACACTTTAAAACATATTCCAAAATTTGCAGGTGAAATCAAAGAAATCTTTGTGTCTAAACACAATAAAAACGGAACAGCGACATCTTTGTGTTTAGATCTCTACTAACTCAGAAAACAAACCTGTCTTTCTAGGAATATTAAGAATAAGGTAAGAAAATAAAAATCTCCTCCCCAATTATCATCCACCCAAAGTTCTCTATTAACTCTCTTAACCTCAAGTGAGCCTAGATGGAAAAAAGGACAAAGAGAAAGGAATTAGGCATTAATTTTGATATTTCATTTATAGAAAAGTTACTTTAAAGCAACTGAATTATGAGATATCTCAATTTGGATATAAAAAAATCTTCACTATTGTCTAAATATGTATTTAATCAATTTGATACTTTTTACAAGGAGATTCAGAAACAACTAATTAAAAGTAGATTTGCTTAATGTTAATAAGCAAGCGTCTCTGCTACGTTACTGCTTTTTAAACCATGAACATTTATCTTTACTCAGTTAATTTTAAAATCTCAAAGACATGGTGGATACATTCCTATATCCTCAGCTCTGAAACATGAAGATTGGGTCAAAAAGTCTTCCACATTTCACAACAAATATGGGCATGGACACAAACTTATCACTTCAGAGTTAGAACACATAAAATTTGGGCCTTATTGAGCAGATATAAGAAGTAATTTGATTCCCAAAGATGCATACCTCCTTTCTTTCCCAGCCTTGAATCTAAGACCTTTTCAATAGTTTCACTATTATCCTGCTGTTCATCAACTCCTTCTCCAGTCATTTCAATGAGGTCATCTGAGTCAGTCTCAAAGTCATCATCTTCTTTGTAACTGCGTGAGGAATAATGCCGAATAAATAAGAAACTGTTTTTTCAGAATTAAACACCACCATACATAACATCATCAGAATAAGGAACCAGACCATTTTAGCTCCAACATGGTATTTTACAGATCAGCCACAAAATCACTGGGCACGGAGTTCATTTCTCTTCCTAAAGTACTGGTGCATGTTCATAGACAACTGCAGAAAAGCTAACTCACATTAGACAGAAAATCACTCTATTTGTAGTAATCTGTGTAAGCAAAATACAGAAAACTACAAGGACACATGTTTTCATTTTTTAATATGAAATCATTACTATGTAAATAAGAAAATAAACACAAAGAAAGAAAATGCATAATGAATCAAAAAAACTGCTACTATTTCACTAGCAAAAGAGAATACTTCTAAGATTAAATAAACGTTTCAACCCTGTATTTTTGTCTCCCAATAATAAAAATATGATATTTAAGAATTCTCAAACTGTTGAGAACTTCAATAAACATATTTCCTGGTAATAAGACATTAAAATGTAACCTTCCACCGTATATTAACAACAAACGGTTTGGGAGTCACACAAGAGAAAACATAATCCAGGATTCAATATAGTTGCAGGAAGAAAAAGTGCTAAGCTACACATCAGAACACTCAAAGCCTAGTCCTAGCTTTGGAATTATTAACTGGATGCATTGGACAGGTAATTACTATCTCTAGGACTCAGTTTCACCATCTCTAAGTAGACGGAAAGAAACTCGCGCATGCCCCAATAGAAAATTAAATGCCCTTTGAATTATAGAAAGTAAAATATTAATGTTGGCATTATCTATTCCTTTATTTGATTTTCTACTAATGCTTCATATCTTATTAGGAAGCTTGAAAAAATTATTATACCCAAATATCAATACATAAGCTGAACGTGGGAAGAATTTGTCTGATTCAAAGAGCAATTCAGAAGTGAGAATACAATCCAAACATCTTTCCTGAAAAACGATGCTGTAAAATGAAGATAACGTCACTAAGCCACTTTGACAGGATGTGAACTTGAAGCAATTCTCTTTATAGGAATGAAGGCTTGAAATGAACTATGCTACTCTTTCCATATTTCCGTTGCCTGGTAACCATTCTTCTTGCAAGAACACTGACCAGACTTCCGAATAGAACCTCAGGACACAGACTTAAAAAAAAAACAACAAAAAACCATCATTTTATTTGTTCATAATTCTGTGGGTCAGAATTTCAGATTCAGAATACTGGGGATGGCTTATCTCCGCTCCATGAGGTCTGGGGCCCAGAAAGGTTGACTTGAATGGCTGGGAACTAGCTGGATAGACCAAAGTCCTATATCTAGAGCTTCCACAGGTCATTCATTATTTTCACATATGAAATGCACAACCCTGGATGGATCAGAACCAAGTTCTAGGTAACTACACTATCACTCTCACAACTGATGAAAAGCTTCTGGGGCATAACCTACCTAACATTTTTAGCCGCTCTGCGACGAGTCTGCCTTTTGGGAGCTTCATCATCTTCATCATCATCATCAGAGGAATCTTGCTTTTTTCTCTTTCCACGCTGAGTCTTAGGTTGCTTTTTAACACGAGGCTTGGGCGCTGTTCTAAAACGAGAAGAGGAAAAAGGGCAAAGTTTTTACTTTATCATTTGGTGTCAACATCAAATCTATATAATAGTATTTCCCAGAACAGGGGTTCCATTCAATAGGATTCACCAGGGGAATGTTAGAGATGTATATTCCTGAGTCTCATTCCCTGAGATCCTAATTTAGTAGAAATCTGCATTTTGATCATCAAAGAGATTCTAATGTTGATAATAATCATTTATAGGAGAAACAGTGGGTTCTGAGGCAATGGTTCTCAACTGTTCCTCAAGATCACCTGACATAAAAATACACATACAATATGTTGCTGATGGTACCAATCTGGCAGGCAATTTGGAAATATCTATCAAACTTACAAATAGAACAACTTTACTTCTAAGAATTGATCTTACAGATATACACCAAGACAGGGATGATAAGGTATTCAGTGTAGTATTATTTACAATAACAAAAGATCAGAAAAACCCTAAATGTTCATCAACTGGGAACTAGTTCAATAAACAGAATACTATGTAGCCATAAAAAAAAGAAAAAAGGTGTTTTCCACATACTGATATGCAAAGATTTCCAAGATACTGAAAGAAAAATGCAAATAAGATGCATGGAATGCTACCAACTGCATAAAGGGAATAAAAGGACAAGAAATACCTCCACACATATTTCTATTATGTGTGCGTAAAGTATCCCTGGAAGACTACCGAGACTGCACGCTGCCGCAGACCGAGGGCTCAGACGGCCCCTCGAGACTCCCCTCACAGTCACGACTGAGAGCCACCATCTAGGAGCTCTCATAAAGAAATCCCCAAATACTCTTTTATCAGTGATAAAAAGGTGAAAAGAGAAGAGGGAGACAGGAACTCACAATCACATCTATCTGTTTCTCTCCTACCTACCGTCACCTACACTACACAGATGGATGATTAGAGATTCAATAACTGATGGGTAAAATCTAGAAGACAGAACTGGAGTGACATTCCAGTCCTGAGAGCTTAAACTCAGAAGGAGACAAAACTCAGTTGATGAAGAATTTCCTCGCTGGGATGAGGGGCTGGGAGTAAGACACAATGTCTGAAGCCAGGGGTAAGCAAACATTTTCTGTAAATGGCCAGAGTGTAAATATTTTAGGCTTTGCTGGACAAGAAGCAAAACTGAAGCCACTACACAGGTACTTATATAATGAGATGAGATGCTATCTTATTGACGAAATTCAAAATAAAATAATAAGCGAGTACATTTTTTGTGATACGTATCTCCTAATAAGAAGAAGAGAATTCTTTTTGAAGGGGTAACATTTCACTTAAGTGGGGTTCAAATTCAGTGTTTCCCTATTATCAAACTATAAATGTTCCTTTATAAAAGCTATACTTAGCTCACGGTCATACAAAAATAGGTGGTAAGTGGGATTTGCCGAAAGACAATGGCTTGCCAACCCCATCCTAAGCAATACTGCAAGGAGGTAAATTTTCCTGGGGCCTCTCTGCCTCCTGCCTTTCTCCATCACCAGTACCTTATGTTGCCATCTGTCTGGTCAAAAATTCCAAAGTTTCTTGCCATCTCAGCCTACTTCGTTCTCTGCACAGATTCTCTCCTTAATGTTATATAGATTACATAAACAAGGTAATAAACAGTGAAGTATGCTTTCAACCAGCCAAACATGTTATAAACCTAAGAATCAGTTCTCCCAAAAAGAAGCTATACACTAGTCAAATACACAGGGAGCTTTTTTTTGGTGGACGATTGTCCCCGAGCTAACATCCGTCACCAATCTTCCTCTCCTTGCCTGAGGAAGACTGTCCCTGAAATAACAACTGCACCAATCCTCCTCCATATTTTGTATACAGGACGCTGCCACAACATGGCTCGAAAAGTAGTCCATGCCCGGGATCTGAACCTGTGAATCCCTGGCCACCAAAGCAGGGCACGCAAACCCAACCAACATGCCACCGGGCTGGCCCATAGGGAGCTTTTTTAAAAGCGCATGATACGTTCGCCCCTCATAACTAGTCTGCCATGGAGTAAAAAACAGTAAGATTCATTCTGAGCTACATGCCATGCAAACACCCACAATCAATATAAGTAGTTCAGTCATCTAATCACTTGTTAACAATGTAGGCTGGCAAAAAGTGAACCAAAGATGTTCAAAACCCAGAATCACAACATATTGTATAACATCAATTAAGGCTCTCCTTCTAGCACTGCATCATCTTCCTCAATCTAACACAAATTAAGCTCAACCAGAAGCAGAGATGTTCAAGCAAATGCTGCACCTTCTGGGGACAGGTCTTCTGGCTTTCACTTTTTTTTGCTCTGGTTCACTCTCTGCACTGGTGCCTTGTTCCTGTTCATCTTCTGAGGCCTCCCGTTTCCATTTTTCTCTGTGATCAAAAGCAAAGCAAAATGATTTTTTTCTAAGAGAATTCAAGATTGTTTAGCTTGAAGAATCTGACAAATCTAATTTTGATCTGATTATCCAAAAGGCAGATCATGTATATTTTAGATATTATGCTAAAAAAGCTCCATTTAAATTTTGGTTGCGTTCCTTCCTGGACTATGTAATATCTATTCCTATTTTATCTCTGATAATAAAAATAAGTGAAACTGGAAACTAAAATGTATTTTTTAAACTATTTGTTCTGGAAAAAAATGCTGTTGAGCCTCTCATCTTCTATTTTGACTTACTATCATTGACAGGATTGAAGCCATAATATATACTAGGATCAGTGGTTCTAAAATTTTAACATGAATCAGAACCACCTACAGGGCTGGTTAAAACAGATTTCTGGGCCACAGCCACAATTTCTGACTCAGTAGGTTTAATGTGAGGCCTGAAAATTTGAATTTTAACAAATCCAAGATGATGCTCATACTGGTTAGACTTCTTTGAAAACTACTATACTAGATATTTTAACATCTTTAGAACACATTTAAGGAAACAATCCCTAAAATTATTTTTTAATGATAAACCTATCACCTACTGAATAATCTGTTCAGCTAAAGATGTAGTTTTTAGTAATTACTACATACAGTAGGTGTTCCTTTGTTCCTTAAGATCTTAGGAGGCTTGAAAGAGCCATACCCTATAGGTGTCCTACTACCTCAAACAGTTTTTGAAATTTACTTGAAGACCAAACAAGATGTCACAGGAGCTTAGCTCATTTCCCACCTGTAGTCAAGAAGGAAGGGACAGAATAATAGCCACTGGGCATGAAATTGCTAGGAAAAAAAACCTTACAGGCAAGTACCTGGGGTTTCTCTGTCAGCAAAACAATTACCACTGTGACTCTGGGTCTATAAATAGGAAAAGAGGTTTCACAAAAGACAACTGTTGCAGAATTGCAAAGTCAAATCAATATTCATGAGAGATAGGTCAAACAGCAGAAGCTTGTTGCAAAAAGGTGATTCCTGAGAACCTTCCTAAAAGGTGCAGGAGCCACCCTACACCTGAACTAGTAGAGACTCCAGGGGAAAAAAATTTTCAAACCTTTCATGAAAAAGCAGTGAAGCACTTTTATGTACATGACTCAAGTCCTACTGGCACTGTTTGTTGCATATCTTATTTCCCTAAGAGTAGGTGACACCTTGTGGGGAGGGCCATTTTGTTCATCTTTGTGCCAGAACTTAGCAGAAAAGCAGGTAAATGGAGATACTCCTTTTGTTAAATGAAGAAATTATTAAATGAATCATATCAGGCTATCAGTCAGACAGGTAGGGGAGCTTTTGGAAGCAGACTGGTAAGACATTACGGCCTATTAGCATTGTCTAATATCCTTCAGCCTCTCTTTAAAACAAAGACCTCCTTATATCTAACTATAGTCTGGGCACCTGTCATTCTCCTTCCCTAGAGCCTTGAAGAATAAATGTTTGGTAAAGAATCTAAGCGATAGAAAGTGATAGCCAGGAAGGAAGAAAAGAAGATGTCTCCAGCAACTGGGAGATTGGCACATGAGGCTGCCATCTCCCTTGGACTAACCCCACAACAGTTTACCCTTCAGAAGGGCTTCACACAGTCAAACTGGGGAGAAGTGGTTTCACAGGAAACAAGCTTGGAAAAACACAAACAATTAAGACCTAAGGGAGAGTAGATCAGATGACGAAGACCTTATAGTTACGCAATGTAATTTACATAACTCCACCAGGAAGTGAGACTCGAAAGCAGGGCAGCCTAATGAGGTCCACTTCTACAACTTTAGGAGACTAAAATGGCAGTAAACACCGAGAGAATGGAGGTTGAGGCTGGAGTTTTCCAGTTAAATTGCAGATTTATAGACTTACGGACAACCAGGAAGACAGAATCTTCTAATATGAGACCGTAAAAAAACTTAGCACATCAGCTGGTCCCGAGCCTTCCTCCTAGAGAAGGAAACTGAAGCCCAGTGAGAACAAGCTGTTTGGCTACATGTCAACTCTGCAGCCCTCCTACTCTCAATCATAACCCACTAAAGACCCAAGAATCAGGAAAAATTGAAGCCAGGCCTATGTGCTGGGAGGGTTTCAACAATTGGAGGCTTTAAAAGGCCAAGTTGAGTTTATGCGAATGTGTATTTGAAATTGGCTGAATTATTTTAAATTTGTTTTAATTTTCAAGAACAGGAAAAAAAAAGTAAGTTAGGATCAGCAATACTAAGTAACTCTGTATAAGGGGTGAAGAGAAAAGAGGGATCAGTTACAAAAAGGTTACTTCCTGACCCTGCAGATGAACAGGGTTCTCTGGCAAGTGAAACTGCTATCCATTCCTAGGTTATTGGCTTCTTACATAAGGCAAATTTTATGAGCAAGCTTCCCTGACTAAGCCATACATTCTAAGTCGGGCTACAATGAAGAGGAGTCCAAAATACAAGATTGTGATCAAAAATTTTTTCCTGTGTTCAAGGAGACTTGAATTGCCAGATCCAGCTCTGAGAGGGCATCAAAGGACTACACTTAAGAAAGAATCAATGGAATTTTTGCCAAAATTTTGGGAACTTGAGAGAAAAATATCAAGATTTGGCCACTGAGGCCCCAAGGCAATGTAACAGACATGAAAAAGTCAGAATACAAGTTAACTGGGTACAGTTTTCTTCCTTTATTGGGAAAAGGTGGTTGCCAGGACACAAATCCTGAGACACACAAATCAAATCTAAACAAATGTAAAGGAGGGAATGAATGAAAGCCATTCTAAAATAAAATGGGCCTCAACTCTGGCCAAGAGTGCCTGAGGCTTCCTATTGACTGTCTCTAAGAGCCCAAAGAAGGGAATTTCTTTCTCCTCTACTTTAGAAGGCAGACCAGGGAAACAGGGGAACAGCTGCTTTAACTTCATTGATTTCCTGGAGAGGATGCCTTTCAGGAGCAAGTTCGAATGAAGAAGAGAAATCTGGAGCTAACAGGGATGCTCCTCCACCGTGTCACAGGTTTGGGACAGACTCCCAATTCAAAACACTGGAAAGGAAGAAATAACTATGATCCTAGGAGAAAAACTTCTTTTTGGTTAAATTATCGTCAAAATATTTTTTTTTAATTCCAGCTGGGAGAAAGGGTTCTGGAACCATTATAGAGTTGCTTTAAGCACTACTGGGACCAGTATGGGTCAGCAGAAATCCTAAACAACATTTCACAAATTTGAATAACACTAATAGGTACTGCATGAAAAAGGGTTCAATGATCAAAACAGCATGAGGGGTTAAATAAAACTCAAAAATTTTGTTTGCATGACTTTAAGTCAGGGATTACAATCTCAAACACCCACTGGGGCCAACTAAGGACTGTATATGGGGTCAAATGGAGAACTCACGGCCCAATCAAAGATTACAAAGACCACTGTTATTAAAATCAGCAACGACCGATTTTCCAAAAAGAAGTTAGAAATCTAGATTCTTATGCACCATCTCTCAATTTTCAATGGTGCCCACTAATTTGAAGAGTCTTTCAATATTGTGGAGGAATGTTATGCTGTATAACTTGTTCTAAGCTTTTAAAACACTAACTCACATTATGACTGGGGAATTAGTTCCTTGTTAAGACTGTATTCTTCAAAAATATCAATGTCATGGGGGCCAGCCTGGTGGTGTAGTGGGTGAGTTCTAGTGCTCCACTTAGGCGGCCCCGGTTCAAGGGTTCAGATCCCAGGGACAGAACTACACATCGCTCATGCTGCGGCAGCGTCCCACATGCAGAACAGAGGAAGACTGGCACAGATGTTAACTCAGGGACAATCTTCTTCAAGCAAAAAGAGGAAGATTGGCAACAGATGTTAGCTCAGGGCCAATCTTCCTCACCAAAAAAAATAAATAAATAAAAAATAAAAATATCTATGTCATAAAAGCAAAGAAAGGCTGTGAAAGTGCTCTAGATTAAATAAAACTGACAACTAACACAATATCTAACCCTAGACTGAATGCTGTAGTGGAGGTGGAAAAATGTTAGGAAGGACACTATTGGGTCAATTGACAAAATGGGAATATGATAGATAAAAATGTTAAATCTATTTAGGTTAAAACTGTACTGTGCGTCCGATACAGAGCATCCTTATTCTTAGGAAATAAACACTTCAGTATTTAGGGCTAAAAGGCCATGATGTATGAATCTTAAATGGTTCAAGAAAAAATATATGGGGCTGGCCCCAGGGCCGAGTGGTTAAGTTTGCGTGCTCTGCTTTGGCGGCCCAGGGTTTCCCCAGTTCAAATCCTGGGCATGGACACAGCACGGCTCATGGGGCCACACTGAGGTGGCATCCCACATGCCACAACTAGAAGGACCCACAACTAAAATATACCACTATGTACTGGGGGGCTTTGGTTAATTTTTAAAAGAAAGTTTAGGGAAAAAGCTCCTTTTAAAAACTGTTGAAATCTGTGGTACAATCTGCAGGGTTTCAGAAAAGCATTTTCCAGGGCCGGCCCGGTGGCACAGCAGTTAGGTTCACACGTTCCACTTTGGCGGCCTGGGGTTCGCCGGTTTGGATCCCAGGTTGGGACATGGCACCACTTGGCAAAAAGCCACGTTGCGGCAGGCGTCCCACATGTAAGTGGAGGAAGATGGACATGGATGTTAGCTCAGGGCCAGTCTTCCTCAGCAAAAAGAGGAGGATTGGCAGCAGTTAGCTCAGGGCTAATCTTCCTCAAAAAAAAAAAAAAAAAGAAAGAAAGAAAAGGATTTCCCCGTGCTAATATTTCAAAGCGTCCACTCCCTCTGAGTCTCTCTCAATTCTGAAATTCACTTGCCCACACACTAGGTTCTGCGACACTTGCTCAGATCACAGAGGTCCCCTTTAGTGCTGTGCGTTGCAACTTAAGTCTCAGCAGCTGCAGGCCTCCTCTAATTAATCTTACTAATTATAATTACCTTGACTCAGGAGAAGACCTTCCCCCAAGCCTCAGCACTCACCAGCTGCCCAGAGGGTGGCAGGAAGGGAGGCTAGCCCAGTCCCAAACAAAGAAGCGTGAGGGAACTACCTCAGCTCCTGGTAAGTTCCTAGGGAAGAGCCCCTAGGGGAGGCAAGCAGCATTACAGAAGACACACTCCCCTACCAGGAACTAAGAGGTTCTACTCAGGGGAAATAAAGGTCCGTGAAAGCCTCTGAGAGTGGCCACTTTGGGGAGCTTTTAGGGTTGACAGGAGAGGGAAAATAAGTATAGGAGCCAGTCAAAAGACTAAGTCTGATGTGTTATACGGTGGCTGAAAAATTGCAGGAATCTGCATACCCAGATAAGGCCATTAAAAGGGGAAGTCACAGTTTTCAAGTACAGCACCCTTTAGATCCCAGATAAGAGACCAGCAGCAGTCAGACAGTAAAGGAAGGAGCAGAAGCATGGACTTCCCAAAAGGCAAACAGAGCACAGAGTCCCCCAAGCAGGTCCATGGCACAAAAGTCTTCTAAGATGCCAAGAAGTGCAGGCTTACATACACTTATTATTTCTCTACCTCTAACTAAATATTTAACACACAAATGAAAACTGTATGTGCTCTGGGAAGGGCAATATTAAATACCTGACTTTTCTTAGCATAGTTTCTAATAACTCTACTAGGTCGGCAGAATAAGAATTACTCTACTTTGGAGATGAAGAAATGGGTTTAAAAAACTCAAATTACTTTACCTTAGGCCAAATACTTACTAAAGATTATTAATATTTGGGAACAGCAAATATGTAACTGGGGCTTTCAATAGGGGCCATGGACAATGGTTTACCATAAGAACCCCCTGATTTGTGTGCCAAGTTTTGATATCTACATTTTTCTCAGCATACAGGCTATAGAATTCAGATTGTCAAAGGGATCCACACCCCTCCAAAAAAGATTTTTTAATTATTTATTTAAAAGAAAAATCAAGCATTTATTCACCATAAGTAGAATTTTTAAAATAAATTTAAAAATGAATGTATAATCTATGTCATAAAGGAATTTCACATTAAGCCCAAGAACGAAAATTTTCTGGCTCATGAAGTGCAATATTAAAATTATACAGAAACAATAATGTGAAATTTCACACTAAAATGTACGTCCAACCAATATAATTTTGCCATGCCAACACAAAGAACAAATGAAGATGAAAAATGGTAAATCTAAATCTGTTTCTTGCTTAACTAGGATAGAATACCAAATACTTGGTTTTGCGCACATTTTTAAGAAAAAAATAACTGGGCTTATCAGATGAAATAAGCTGGGGTCTACTCCACAAAGTAGTCCCAGCACATATGGAACACCTAGATGTGTAAAACTGAGAGTCTTGGGCTTCCATTGCTGCTGCTGCTGCTGCAGGTCAAGACAGACAATAACCCAAGACAGTAAGAGACAGAAGCAGACTCTGGGACCCGGGGTAGACTGAGGACACAACGAAGGCAGTCCCAGAAATGCGGACATGTTTGAAAATACTACATTAAGTAATTTCCCCCATGGAAGACTTACTGTTTTTTCAGCTGCCTCTGGCCTCTTCTTTTTGGGCTCCCACTCTCAGAGCCGCTACTTGCCTTCAGTGTGTGAGGGGGGAAAAATGATTACAGACTTTAATTCACAGTTCTTAGGGACAACGTTATCCCCTGGTTCAACAATCTACTTGATATAACATTATTAATATGAGCTTTTAGACCGAAAAGAAACCTAAGCATTTGTCTGGTGGTGCTCACTCTTGTTTTGCTCTGAAAATTAATGTCTGTCGATTACTACTGAGTTATCTCTAACACCAGGAAATACTTCTCAGCTTGACTTCTAAAAGAGAGCAGTCCAGTAAAATTTTCTGTGATGACAACGGAAATGTTCTGCAGCTGCAATGTCCAAAAGAGGAGCCAGCAGCCACAGGTGACCACTTAGCCCCTGAAATGTGGCTACTGTGACTAAGGAATGGAATTTCTCATTTTACTTAAATATAAATTTTAAAAGCCACCTATCTAGAGGTGACCATACTGGATACTGCAGATCTAGAATATCAAACGAAAATGCCACAACATTTAGTGCACCACTAGAGATGATTGCTACCAATCTATTCCATTTTAGACTCATCAAAGAGCATGTTCGGTTATGAGCCAACAGTGCTCTGCTAACAGATCTGGGCCAGGGAGAGTTTACAGAGACATGTGAACAGCTCTTTTTCCCCAAAATTAAGCAAAATGGCAAACTATTCCTATTGCTGTTAGTTTTGTGCCCTACAGAAAATGTGTTTATCTATATAAAAAAGAGGAAAAGATTTACACAATTATGTGATTGGTTGTAACAAACATGGCTCAGTAACCTAGTCCTAGACACTGTGGGAAAAGAAAGTTAAGGAAAACCAGCTCAGAGGTCACTCAAAATAAAACACCACAAATGAAATGCAGATGTTACAGTCAATTAGATTTTTAAAATACATTAACTGAAAACCCAACTCAGTAACCTTTGGCTATTAATATTCAACTTTTATCAGAAAGATGTTATATAGTTAAGAATAGCAAGTCCTCCTAAGAATGCAGAGAGGGAACATTTCACTGAGACAAAGACCATCTCTTCAGAATGTGGTCCATAAACCTAACAGAGGTAAGAATCTACAAAAATATCACACAAACTGAGAAAGGTGGGAAAAGTCTTGATTCTATAGAAACAACAGAACGCAGTACATAACATTAATTTTAAAAATTACCAATCTATTTCATCTCTCACAATCAGATGAGAGAGTAAATATGTGCGAAACATTTTATACTGCACACTAAAAATGAACTAGGAAACCAAATTCAAAGAAATCAGATAAAATACTTAAACTCTCCTTCCTTTCTCAAAAATAAATCTGAAACTACTTCCATTGTTTCATTTGTTTACCAAGCAAGTTACTCATTTAACAAAATCGAGATTTAGAAACGAGAGATTTAAAAAAGTAAACTTCTTGCTATAATCAATTTCACTGAGAAACATAAAAAAAAAAAGAAAACAAAAGTTTGAGGCCAGTTCTGTATAATACTCTAACACTCTACTAAAACGTTTACTATGCCATGATCCTTCTGCTGAGTTTCTTTCTTTAAAAGCCACCTGTGGCTTTTCTTGCCGTGCTAGGTTGAGAACGCTCACATTAGAGTCACTTAACTCTCAAGCCTGAAGTCCAGTCTTCATATGTAACGGTAATACATACCAGAGTCGGAAAGGATGAGGTAAGACAAGGAGTTTAAATGTATCCCCTTAAAATATGTTTTTTCTTACCTCCTCCTTAATATTAAATCGTGAAGGTTCTTGTCTGCTTCGGTTTGACCGCCTAACCCCATAAACATCAGGATATTCTTCCCACATCTGTAAAATTAATAGACCATGTGTGAATCTTTTTTCTTGACCCCCATTTACTATTTTCATTATTGGAAAATGTATTTCAATTTAAGAGAATTCAGGTAACTAAATATCAAAAGGGTTGTTCTGTTAGCTTGGTTTATGAGACAATAAAGTACTATCTTTAAAAAGAATAAGGCCCATTATCCTTGCACACATTAAAGTTTAACAACGTCTCTTCATTATTAAATGGCTATTAAACTATGGTACACTGCTCACCCATCATTAAAATATAAACTTACAGGTGAATAACATGGCAAGGTAAGAGAACAACTGCTTCCAGTAAAGACAAAGTACTTACTGATGAGTTAAGTCCTCTAACGCTTTCAGCTGCAGCTTTGACTGCACAGGGGCCTGCCTGAGAAACTCAAAAAACAGGCAGGGCCTCCTCAAGTCAAATTCGTATTCCTTTAAATTCCTTAGGACACGTAACACACCAGATACACGCTGATGAGGTATTTCTAACATTCAGCTAGAAGCTCTCAGCGTGAGAACCACTGCCACTCTTCCTCCTATATACCTAATTTTATTCTCTAGCAGTAATTAGCCCTTTGCCGTTAAGACCTGATTTTTAGGAATAATCCTCATCAGTGATCAAAAAAGTAAAGTTTAAAGGAGGGATTAGTTGAAGAGAAAAATTTGTTTCACAATATATTAACATCATCTTATAAAAAGACTCAAACCAACAAATCTATAGAAAAAATGTAAAAGGCTCCTCCTCCTTCCATCTCTAATGATTAGAGTCTAACCCCCAGTATCCTTCCCACAGATAACTACTGCTAGTGTTCTTGCAAGGAAATCAATCACACACAGGCAAAATGAATTTCAACAGACTGTGCAACACTGAAGTGAAGATGCTTAACAGGAGTTATACACGTAGAAGAGACGCTTGAAAGCCAAGATTAGAAATGTGGTTTGTCCTCAAAACACAGGTGACAGCTAATGTCATGAAAATATTTGGAAAGTCAGGCAAGAGGAGAAGCCACTGGCTGAAACTGGTAAAATGTGTGGAAAGTGGACCCCAAAAGACAAAACTGACGAAAGGAAACCTAGAAAAACACAATGTCACTAAGCCAAGGGAGGACATTATCAACAGTGACTTTAAAAAAAAAAAAAATACCAGAGTAAGCTGAAGAAAAACAAGGCCTCAAAAGAAAAGATGTTCCAAGCAAGATGTTGCAGGAATAGGCATTTTAGAACTAGAATCCAACATAATCATGTAATGCAGTGCCCTCAATTTATAAAGGTGGAAAATCCATAACAGTCTTAGAATCATCTCAGAGTCAGAGAACAAAAGGTTCAATCGAGTTAGGAATAACCAAGTAGTAGGAAACCAGGCGAAGATGCAGCAAATGCAGCACACTGAACAAATGTGGCAGAGAAAGGAAGGAGACAAAGCTTTACACCAGCCTCGTCTGCCAACCCCCACTCCCACCCCCACCCCTTTTGGGATCTCTACTAGAGCTATGAAATTACTTTATTCAACACAAGTGTTTATGGAGCTTTTATTAACCGGGGTGGCTAAATTATTTAAATGTCACTATATCAATTAGTTTTATTCAAAAATCTCAGGCATTCAGGCTACTGTTGGGACTTTATTACAGTATACACTGTAATGCTTAATCCTAAAATCATCTTGTGTTCATATTTGTCCTTTTGAGGGCTAGTAACATCTAATTCAACTCTTCAGTGAAAAAGCTACCACGTGAAAGGGACGTGCATACAGAAAACCTTCTCTAACAAAAAGCCTTCTTTAGAAGTTCTCGTTTCAGAATAATTGTTAAAAGTCACAATCCAATCATTCTGACTGGCTAGTATGTCCATCTATGTATTAACTTTAACTTGTTGGAACTGATGGCTGAATTTTTAAAGTATATTTTAATATTTCTGCCTGAAGCTATACTTTTATCTTGAAATTCAGTCTTAGCGATGCTTGCTTTCTTAGTTCCCTTTTAATCTTTTTAAATGAAATCAAATATATAATGTCTTACAGTTAAGCGTTGTGAATCCCTGATGGTCAACATGATTTCAGGAAAGTTTTAAACATACTATGCAAGTCATGGTTTCTAGGTTTTCCTTTCATCTCTCCAAGTAAAGAACTCTCCACTGTACAGAAGAAAGTTACATCCAGACTTATATTTGGTCATTATCCTTCATTCAAAAATGTGTTGCGGTCTTCTGGAAAGAGCACCCAGTGTAGAAGTACAGAGGAAAGCAGGTTCAGACATCAGGCTCTGAAGATTGCAGACCAAGGCCTTCTGCTACAGGCCTGAGTGGTAAATTTCTAAGTTTTCGACACAGCAAGATCTCCAAATGGTACTTCTACATATGCAGGGTCTTTCTGAAATGTCACCACTTGAACTGTCTCTTGTGAAAGGTCCGCAACACACTGACCAGGCAACAAGGAACAGCACTTGAGTGTCTGCCGGCACTTCTCTGGTGATGAGTTAATTAGCAAGCACAACTTTCACTTTCCTGTCCCTAACACAACCATCAGCATTCCCCAACCTACCACCAGCTCCTAAGGGTCACTTACCATTAAGCAATGATTACACTAAGAACACAAGAAGTGAAATAACATGGTTAATCCCAATTCTGTCTCGAGTTAAAAGCGGCTTTATTTTTCAATTTCAGGTTTTCTGAAGCCATTCTATAGCATTTGCAGGTAATTTAAAATTGTACTATGAAAATCTGAGTGCACAGATACAGAGATTTATATCTTAAAAGAATAAAACCTGATTTCACATAAACCTTTTAATTTCATTAAGACATTTTATTTTCAGATTTCTAAAAGCGATATTCTTTTGTATTTTCAGTGATTCAAACATAACTCACTCAAAATGGAATTTTAAAAGAACAGCTGCATTCTTATGATTAATTAAACCAAGTCATTAATTTTTCCCCAAAAAGAATGCATCCCTAAATTAGGGGATCAATGAGAAAATGCTATGCAACTCACTTTTTGCCTTTTTTCCTTCTTTGCTGGAAGACTCTTCTCTGTTAGAGAATACCTACAGTGCCTAGGTACAGGTAATTGTTTTTCTATGGGCACTATTTCTCTTCCATTATTCAAGTAACAAAAACTGCCCTTATTCTTGGATTATAACTGTCTATCACTAAGCTTTACAAGTGCATTCCACAATCATCCGTCAATGATTCTCTCTGGTATTATTCACTATTGTATAAAAAGAAATAATTTTAACCACCTTTTTTAAAAGTTAAAAACCAAAACTATAAAAATTCGTCTTTTTCCCTCTAATTTGACGGTTCATGTCATTATTTTCCTTATAGCCCTGTTGTCTACTACATCAATTAGTAGAGCAGAGAGCAGTCCCCATTTGTATCCACAGACAGTATATGATCAGAAGAGGTGGCTGCAGCTTTCATTCTCAAGATACAATAAAGAGTTTTCCACAGGAGATAAAGGGCTGCTAGCTGGTCCTAACTAGCAGCACATTTGCACTGTACAGCAAAGCAGATACCTTCTTCACATCGGCTATCCGTTCCTTCTTAGAGGCTGGCTTCTCTTTGGCTTCTGGAAGGACTGGCTGAGATTTGGAACCTGCTGATTCACTTTCAGATTCCGACTGACTCTCTGAAGATTCAGAACTGCTGTTCGACTCGCTGCCATGTCCACTTCCTGGATCGCTGCCCTGCTCACTCTCTGACTGGCTGCCTGAGTCTGAACCCGAAGCTTCTTCAGATGCTGAATGACTTAATAAAAAAAAAAAAAAGATTTAAAAACTACCACATGAATCTGTTAAAAAAAAAAACAATCCTAGCAGTAAAATGACAGTGGATAGTAATTTAGGTAATAAAAAAAAATCAAAATTTTCAAATTCACTTTTATGTTCTTATATTACAAATAATGTCATTACTATCGTTCTCAACATCCCTAATAGCTACCAGTTCCTGAGTGTTCATATGATGCCACATACCAGCTAATTTATATAGATTAATTAGCTCCTTTACAAAAACTCAGAAAGGGGATATTATTTTCCCTTTCATTCAGATGAGGAAAAACTGACACTCAGGAGTTAAGTAACTCTCCCAAGACGACACAGGTAGGATTTGAAATGAAGCCAATCTGTCCGAAGCCACTAAGTCTTATTTGTTCATTATCAGTCCCTCCCGTCCTCAAGACAAAAACAAAACCAAAAGGAAAAAAAAAACATAACAGAAAAAAACCAAACCAAGGCAGAGTTACCCAAAAGGTAAAACTGCAATCTGGTTGCAATTATCCAATCAGTGGTTCTCAACAATAGGCGCAAATTAGGCTCATCTGGGGGGCTATACAAAAATATGTACACATTAACCCCCAAAGCAGAGGTCCAGCCTTGGAATCTCCCGCAGTGAGTCCCAGATCTAGCAGACTCAACAGAACAAAATAAACAAAAAGCATTCTGATTCGACTGTGAATGCCTAATCCAATAAAGACTGCTATCGCTCCCACATATCTCCGCCCTTCCTCATTCCAAACACTCCCCAGGAAAAGCAACCTAAGTAAGCAATGAGAGCCGAACAACTGGAAGGCTGTGGGAAGATAAAGTATCAACCTTCGGAGCTGAGAAGACAATACACCCTCCCCATTCTCGCAGTGAAAAAGCAATTCAGGGGCACGCTAGTAGGAATGAAGATACCTGAAAGGGAAAAGACCGAAAGTTGATGGACTCTACAGAAAAGGAGGTGGACAGCTCACTCAACAATTTTGCTTAAAAACTACCTTTTCATTTAGGAGGGGCAGAGCAGAGAAGGGGAGGCAGTGGCAACCCAGAACCTAGAGGAACATTAACTTAACAGAAAGGTCCTTGAGTTTAGCAACCAGGAAATGAAAGATACATGGCATGAAGCCAGAAAGGGTCAAGAAGGGAGGCTTCATATTTACCACCACTGTACCTTCCAAACTAGCAATGAGGTCATATCACTTGACAAACACGTCCACAGAACGAACAGGGCAGTACACTGGAAACTGGCATCGAGCCCAAATTCCCACGTGATCCAAGGTAAGTAAGGACATTACACTGCAAGGGCCTTTCAGTTAAGATGAGGAAGCAATGAGAATAATGAGGGGAAGGGAGGAGAGAAGGGAAACACCATGCATTAATCGTCTGATCATCGAACAGGTAACCCGGCGCCACATGAACTGCTTTATATGAATGCTTATTCCCCATAACAACGCCATTAGGCACTATCACCCCCATGAGAAGGATGAAACAGAGACATTTTAAGTAATGTGGTCAACGACAAAACCAGAAAGTGTAGGGGTGGAGGGATGGCAGGGATTCCTCCCCAAGTCTGGCTCTCAAGCCCATATTCTACTTTACCACAGGGGTTCAAAACCTTGAGAGACTCAAAAAATAAATCTTAGTCCTGTTAAACTACCTCCAAAACCAGTCAGGCATCCCTGTAAGTGTGCTCAACACTTCAGGGCCTCATTATACTTCCTCATTCCCTGGCCCTTTGCACAGTTAAAGCAGACTGGTCTAAGCATCAACAGTCATTCAGTCTCCACCTCTGACCCATCAGAAGGCAGTCACCAGGCAAGAGAAAAGAAAGAGGAAGGCTGGACAGTACAGTTAAAAAGCGCAAGCTCTGGCATCCGGGGCTTGGGTCTCAGTCCTACATCATCTTGGGCCTGTGCAACCTCTTAACCTGTGCCATCCTGTGACTACCTGCAGGGTCATGAGAGCATCAAATGACAGCTCTGCAAGCAGCACTCTATAAATGCCAAAGCCTTACCCAAACATTAGAAACTCTAGAATTTCACATCCAAGCTTAAATTCTAACACAGAGTCCTTGCCAGCTAGCAACCATCGGTGAGTCAGCACCACACAATCCAAGGCACTAGTTGGAATTTATTAGTTTTGCCTCCACCATTTGCTCACTGACAGAAAGGTACAGAGGCAGCGCCAAAATTTCCTTGTAAGTAAGGAATTTAGAAAGGGCAGTCTACTTGAAAGGTGTGTTAGGGATATACCTGGAAGCTACATTTATACAGCCAAAGCAGCCAAGTACTTGGAGAGACCTGAAAGACTAGGGAGCTAGCGATGCCCACATCCTCCAGGCCACCCTGGGCGTGGGCTACGGTAACATCCAATCTCAGCACACCCTATGAAACCTGGCCTTTGCCAACTTCTCAAGACTCATCTCTGACCCATTCCTTCCCCTCACCCCCACTACTCCAGCCATTCTGAACCACCTGTAGAACAGAAAGCCCTAGTATTGCTCATCTCCAGCCTATGCTTATGCATCAAGCTAAATACTTCTCTAATTCTTGAGGCCTCGGATGTTACCCTTCTGTAGGAAAATATCCTTTGCGCTCACCAATCCTAAAATTGGTGCCTATTATAAAAATGGTGCCTTCCATAATACTCCATCACAGCATCTCTGTCATAGCAGTTACTACCACTGGCAACTGAAAATAGGCAGCCTCGTTTCAGAGTTTGAGCTGCAACCAGCATAGTCTGCTGGCTCTCCTCCCTTATAGCAATGACACACATCCTGGCCCAGAAGACTGACTCCAAAGCCCCAGTTGTGAAGATCTACACTACTTTGCCTCCCCTTTGTCACATTCTATACAGGTAATTTGGTCACTTGTCGACCTCCCCAAAACACCTGAGAGCTAAGTCGTCGTCTCTGCCACTCCCTGTGCATTGTATACTAGAGAAGAGAATGGAAAGGGGTACTTAGTGACTTCGCTAGAATATGCAGTCTTTTCTAAAGCCTTTTGAACGAATGGTTTAGTTTTTTAACTACTATAATGCTTAACTCCAGACAAGAGATTAAGTCTGGAATCATATTCTGGCAATCACCACCAACTAAAATTGTCACAGGACCACAGTATGGTTGCCGTGAAATATAAAACATTCCAACAAGACGAAAAATCTTCAACTACAAACTTAAAGGACCAGAAAGCCACAAAAAAAGCAGTTAGTCTGCTAAAGATAACTAGAACAGCCTGGTTAGCTAGAAATTCTTGTAGTGTTTTGTGCTGAAAAGCAGTAATCACTGCAGATATGACCAAAATGTCCAATGCCAATACCCACGTCAGAGTACATGGAAACGTCTAAAGACCTCAATCCCTTCAGACTGCCTCATAGTATGAGACACTACGTTTTATTTAGTCTGTCCCCTATTAATGAGACTTTTAGGTTATTTTCAAGTTGTTCACTTAACCAATAAGCTACAAATATCCTTGATATACTTCCATATTTCTGTATTTCTGAGTAGAATATTTAGATTTCCAAATTGTTCACTGTAAACCAATAAAATCATAAGTAACCTTGTATATGCCTTCTTGTGCAGCTCTGTATTTCTGCATTTGTGGAGAGCAACCTCTAGAAACGTAACAATGGGTACAGTACTTTTTAGGTAAAAAACAGCCATATTTCTATCAGCACATATCTATGTGCATAAAAGCATTTTAATCACCGAATTGCTAATAGTGTTTCATTCTGTTGGATGGGTTATCTGAAGTACACTAGTGGATCCCATGAACTACTTGTGTAACTCCAAGAAAAAACCACTTAGTAACTATGAAAATCAAACCCAAGAAAAGATGAACATCAAATTCACAGAAGTGCTTATCTCTGGGCGTTGAGGGAGGCAGATGTGATCAGAGAATGATACTGGTGACATTTTATGACTGAAGGTCAGTGGTGAGTTCATAGTTGTTCATTATGTAAGTATTAATCTTTTTAATGTTAACATAGTTAATAAATCCAACCAAAGAGCCTAATTCAAGGCAAGGGATATAAGTATCCCAATCCTACACAAAAGGAGCTAAAGATTTCAGAGAGAGCAGGCCTATTTATTTTTGGAACCAGTAAGTCAGATTTAATAGACTTAAAATACTATTTAGGGGAAAAAGGTTTTTTAAAAAGTACTAATAAAGGTACAACAATTAATGTGTATACTTCTCCTAGAAGTTCCTAAACGTTGAAATGGAAAAGGAATATTAAAGAAAAAAACCTATAAATATCTCCACATTTAAGGCACTGATGGTCTAATTACTCCTTCAAAGGACAAAGTATTTCCTGAAATATTGTGCAGATTTGCTATTAATGCCTAATTATAATACTAGATACTATTAATACTAAATTATAGGTTGCAATATTGATTTAAAATAGATGTGGAAAGTCCACAAGACTGACAAAAAGAGGGAGTTAGTGAGTGAGGAGTCCTTTAACTAAGCTTTCACATAAGCCAAACAGTAATAAAATTACCTGATTTTCAACGGCATTATAGTTATAAGGCAATTAAAAACGGAATTTTCAGAAATGATTATCTACCATACATATAGAATTGTCATGAAAAAGAAGTTAACCTGAAAATTACTCACAACCTAAGTTGCAAACAATCACTACCAGGGAAATACAATGCGAAAATAAAGGGACTCAAGTCAAAACTGGGATTTTAGATTCCAAAAGAAAATAAATGCTTGTTTAAAAAAAACAAAGTATCATTTCTTTTCAGTTGTGGATAAGGATTTGGTATGTCTCCACAATCCTGTTTGAAGTAGGCAAAAATGAAGCGATTAAGCATTTCTTACAACTGGACTTTGAAAGCAAGCAGCATTAACAGCTATTGTACCATTTATAAGTTTTAACAGCCGTTTCCCAAGTGGCCACAAGAGGGCAGCACAGCAACACCTCACTGAATAGAACGAGCCTGTGGCTTCCCTGCCCAAGAGCTGCCATTTCAGCGCTTCGGTG